GAGATAGTCATAGCAGCAGTGAGACAATAATAAAAATTCAACACTTTTTAAACGTCTCTCCACCTTTCGCAGCCATCACCTACACACCCAGCTATAAGAAGACCCCTCCTCCGGTCCCGCCTCGCACCACCTCCAAACCGCTCATCTCCATCACGGCCCAGAGCAGCACCGAGTCCACCCAGGACGCCTACCACGACGGGAGGCACCCTCACGGCGGGATGTGGGCCGCCGACGGCCTCAGCCTGGGGTTGAGCCCGGGCCGGGCCCTCTACAACTCCACCGACAGCCTGGACAGCGCCAAGGCGGTGACCATAGCCATGGAGGCTGCTGGAGTGATGTCTGGAAAGAGACACCCGTCCACGGACTCTCACAGCTCAGTGCTCACCTGCGATAAGGCCGTCCTGGTGTCAAAGGCTGAGGAGTACTTGAAAACGCCTCGATCCTCTATAGGGATACAGGTTAGTCTCGGCATCAGTGTATGTGTGTGTGGTGAAATGATCTCCCATACAATCGAATGAGTAATGCAGTTTTTACAACTCAAACCAGTGCGTGGTTATATAACAATACAGAATAGTATCACACACATGCATTCAACTGAGAAACAGTGCTCTCTTTTCTGCAGCTAAAAATAGCAAGAGTGAGTCATCTTACTGCAATCCATTAATTAAGATTCAACTCATGCTGGAGCAGGTTTTAGTGAATGGCGGTTCACTCCATGGTTCATTCACTCCTCCTCTACTTACTGTACCTTTTCTCTCTTTCATTCCGGTCCCACTGACTTATCCCACTCTCCTGCTTCTTTTGCTTCTTTTCTGCCTTTTTTTTTTCTCTCTCTCCGCCTCCCGCTCCGTTTGATCTCACATTGGATTCGCCTCGCTCATTTTCTCTGATTCGAGCTCAGGTTGTTGATCTCTCGTTGCAATCGAAAGGTCTGCAGCAGAACAAAGAGTGAGGAATCTGTGGCAACTCGCACCATCACCTCAGGGCCATTTATAGTATTTTATCAAAGCAGAAGTATCAAAGTTACAAGGTTTTAGCGTTCTGCTGGTGCATTTTGCTTGGTTTATGTCCTTCGCTCAACCACTCTTTATCAACATTACCATAATATATGATATTTTGTCCTCTTTCCCACACATGAATCCATACATTTACATCCTCACTGCGTCTGCCGATAATTCACTTCACTTGGAGCGGTGCAAAGTTGAACTTTTCAAATATTTGAAAAAGAAAAAAAAACAGCAGAACATTTCATTAATCTCATTTGGAAGGTGTTTGAAAGTCAGTGGGTCCTGTTCAAGTTTCTTGCTAATTAAATCAAGCACACCTTAAAGGGTAATTGCTGTGTTTTTTTTCTCTCCCCTCCCCATCAGATGATATTAAGAAAGTCCATTGGCTGGAGATTGGTTTAACCTCAAAATTATATTAAAGCCAATGACTGTCAGATGTTGCCGTCGGGGAGTCAGCCAGTGAATAAATGATTCCTTCAAAGTCAATTGATCCTGCTGCACACGCTGCGTCGTATCACATCCAGACTGAGAGGATACCCGGCAGAGGGTTTTTGACAGGGCTTTCCTCTGTGATGTCTAAATAAGATTTAACATGTTGGTGCAGCCTCTTAAAATGAGATGCTGGAGTTTCATGTAAACGAGGAAACTGATTTCCCTAACGAAGGTCAAAAGCGCTTGATTTTTGCCAGATTTCTTAAAAAGTTGAACTCCTCGCTCGGGTGTACAAGTGACAATATTAATAACAGGATTGTTTCGCAAGAAAAGACGACAAACAGGGGAAATACAACACAGCTAGTTACAGTGTTAAGGATCCTACAGTGCACACCAAGACTGTTAGGTTTTTACTGACTTTTGTTAAGCAGAAAGTTTGATTGAAATGTACATTTTCCTAGTCAAGGCACCACATGGGGCATCACTGGACCCGAAAACATTTTTGCTTCTCAGACAGCTTTGTATTTTCAACCATAAAGCACGGCCACCTTAATCTGTAGCTCAGCAAAATTGCCTTTTGCACAATCTCGAAAAAGGATGTAATTTCACAGTTCTGCTGTGTGTAATGAATAAAAGAATTAGTCAGACTGCATTTTGGAATATGTGCTTCATACTGAACTAAAAATAGACGTGAAACAAGTTAGTACAATGGTGCACATAGTCAAAGTTTAACAAAGAGATGCTCTGACGTGTGTGTCTGTTCACACAAAAAGAGGGAATGCATGCTAGAATTGTGACCTTTTGCAGGACCAAAGTGTATTGTAACCGTGTCTGTAGTGATTTCTTAAAGGACCTCACAGGGGCTGCAAGGTGGCTCG